TATATGCGTAAGATGCGATCTCTTGTGCCATCATACTAGTTATATCCTTAACAGTTAAGAGTGCCTGACCTGTTCACCCAAGTTGCAGAAATGCACCATTAAATTTTATATTAAAATATTAGATCTTTTGAGCTAATAGATAACAGAACCTTATGGACAAGCCCTTGTGTGTGTGTGTGTGTGTGTGTGTGTGTTTACAAAGTTACTAAACTACATGGTCCATATACATTTTACACTACAGAACTTCAAAAATTTCATGGGAAAATTCCATTATCTTTTATTTACATTTTTCCACAAACTTTTATGATTCTTTCATATCTGTATCAAAGGGGCCATCATCTAGCTTGCAAATTGGAGTGGTATAAATATAGTCTCCAAGATGCCCTGTGACAATGTCATATGCTGTTAAGTCAATGCTGGCTCACAGTGGCCCTACAAAATAAAAAAAGAATAAAACTGTCCCATGGGGGTCTTAAAGGCTTGAAGGTAATCAAGCGGCCATCAAGCTCAGAAGCAACAAAGCCCACATGGAAGAAGCACACCAGCCTATGCAACCACGAGGTGTCGAAGGGATCAGGTGTAAGGCATCATTAGAACAAAAAATCTTACCATAGTGAATGATGGGGGGAGTGTGGAGTGGAGATCCAAAGCCCATTAGTAGGCCACTGGAGATCCCCTTGCAGAGGGGTCTCGGGGAGGAGATGAGCCAGTCAGGGTGCGATGTAACAACGATGAGAAATAAAATCTTCCTCTAGTTCCTAAAGGTTTCCTCCCCGCTCCCACTACCATGACTCGAATTCTATCTTGCAAGACTGGCTAGACCAGAGGAGGTACACTGGTACAGATAGGAACGGAAAATACAGGGAATCCAGGACGGATGAGTCCTATAGGACCATTGGTGTGAGTGGCAAAACAGGGAGGGTAAAGGGAGAATGGGTAGGAAAGAGGGAACCGATTACATGGAACTGTGTGTGACCTCCTCCCTGGGGGACAGACAACCGAAAAGTGAATGAAGGGAGACGTCGGACAGGGCAAGATATGACAAAATACCCATTTATAAACTATCAAGGGCTCATGCGGGAGGGGGGAGCGGGGAGGGAGGGGAAAAATGAGGACCTAATGTCGGGGGGTTAAATGGAGAGAAAATATCTTGAGAAACGATGTACAAATGCGCTTTACACAACTGATGTGTGTGTGGATTGGGATAACAGTTGTATGAGCCCCTAATAAAATGTTAAAAAAGAAAAAAAAAACTGTCCCATGGGTTTTTCCTAGGCTGTACTCTTTAAGGGATAAGATCCCTGGGTCTTTTTTCCATGGAGAAACTGATTAGTTCCAACAGCACACCTTTTAGTTAATAACAAAGAGTTTAACTTTTGCTCCACTTGGTAGATAATGTGATATTTTCTAAATAAACCACAGAAGATTCAACGTAAGAAGGATTCAGTCTCTATCTTGGAGAAGGTAACTATATATTGATATGGGTTAATTTTTAGGTAATTGGATGTTTTAAAGATAGCTTGGATCCTAAAACCTGAGTTCTCAAAATGTGACTTTATTATTACAGGTATGAATAAGATAATAAAATGCATGGTAAAAACAAGATTTATAGGAACATAATTAATGAACTATAGTAGGAGTCCAGACAGGCTCTGCTCCAGAAAAATGTGGTGGAGTTGTAGATAGAATGTACCTAAGGTATTATGTAAATAGAAGCAATAGAATAAGGTCACTGGTGAAACACAATAAATAAGATGCAGAGCATTCTTTGAAATTACTTGAATGTTCTAACTTGGAATGACAGATGCAGAAACAACCATGAATTAGAAGGAACTGGCTTGACTTTGGGGGAAATTGCCAATAGTTTAAATTTGTGTTGCATTTATGGACAATGCTGGAAAAGGTAAGTAGAGTTTATTGAAGAAGTCATAACTCAGAAATAGGTCTGGAAATTTTCATTTGTGGGAGGTGTGGAGATTTACGCATTTGGCCAGGTTTACTTGTATTTAGGGAGTGAGAAGACAAATAAGTCAAGGAAAGAGAGAGGACAGGAACTCGAGCAGAGCTCTGATTTTAGAGGGATGAACAGCAGGGCATGATACAGGACAAGAAGGCTCTGGTTGGCATGATATTTGCGTTTGCAGTTCAGAAGCCATGTATAAGTTTCTCTCCTCAAATCTCTAGAGCCATCACTCGACATGACTCTCTCACCTCCCTGTTCCTGCATCCTTTTTATCCAAGTTACCAGATACCTTTTACAAAGGAAAGTGCTGGAGGTAATATGGAGAGAATAAACCCAAAATCCAACCCACTGCCATTGAGCAATTCTGACCCAAAGCAGTCATGTACAGGGTTTCAGCGACTGGAATCTTTATGGAGCAGACAGTCTAGTCTCATCTTTCTAGCAGAAAGCAAGTTCAGTTATGGCATTATCACTTATTGCTTTATAAATAAATTAAGACGGGTCAAGTAACCTCTCTGGCCACTATAACCAAAGATAAAATTGAAGTGAAAATATTTACCTTAGTGAGTCATTAGAAAATTAAGTAAGATAATTATGTAAATGTGTTATCACAGTTCTGGGCTCATGTGAGAGCTTAAGAATTTTCATTTTCTATTAAATATAGTCTATGCTACACTCTTTCTCAATTCTTATTTCCCCTACTCTTTTCTGTTTTTCTTCACTACCCCCGTAACTTCTTTGTTCCCCAGCTTGGATTCAGAGAAGAAACTTGGAATCAGCAATCGAGCACAGGACATAAAGGGAAATGGCACTTAGACCATCCCAACTTAAAACCTAGTCTAAACCGATTCTCCCTGCCATAGCTCACTGCACCAAAATGAGAATGCTGAGTTCTAACAGAAGTAAAATTGTTTCCTGTGAAATTTATCCAAGGAATTTTTCTGATATTATTATTGAAATAAGTGCATTAATTGTTTAAGACAAAAAATATCAAAACTTTATAGCAAATATATGTCATTTTGAAACACTAGAAGGAAGAAAAGAGATTTTCACCTACGTATTCACTTAATTCCTGGATTTAAGGTTGGTTGTTTTTTCTTCCCCTTCAGAAAATAGCAGAGTTTGATTGTTGTTTTTGTAAGTTTGATTGGCACATAATCCACATATCATACAATTCAATTACTACAATCAATTTTAGAACTTTTTTATGGATAAATTGCTTTTAGACTAAATTGTGTAATCACAATCAATTCTAGTGCTCCCTTCCCCATCCTATATTGTTTGTTCCCCCAACCCCCTCACCCCTTTCCTATCTGCCACACCCAACCCCACCCCCCTGCCTCTACTTCCCCTACAAACCCTTACATCAGTCCTTATCTTAGGCGTCTACACCATCTGTGCTTCACAAACTGGAGTACCCAACAGAAACGATTTTTAAAAAGAAGCAAAATAAAGTGGTAAGGATAAAATAATACTAATATAAAGATTAAAATACAAATAATGAGGAAGAAATAAATGACCACCATCAGTATTTAAAAGACCAGGGAAGAAATTTTTGTCATGGATCAAGCAAGAAATACTTGCACCTAGAACAACAATAGGGTGGGTCAAGAGGTAGGTCAGCTGACCAAATATCAAGTTCAGTCCAGTATAATAACACTTACAATGATGCCTACCTGGTAGTAAAGCTGTTCAAGACCCTTGCCTGTGGCCAGAGGGGATCTGCCAGTGGCTTAATCGGACTAGCTACTCTGCAGACCAGTTTGGAGCTCCCAGTGTCCTCCATAGCCTTCTATGGATGCTCGCAATTTGAGCTCTGATACTTTTCCCTTTGTCATATTTGAATTTTGTTATTGTCGTCTTTGTTGTGATTCCTGCATGTGGACTCAGTTGACCCCTCACTTAATGGCTGCTTATTTGAATGCATGCCTTTAAGACCCCCAATAGCCAGTACCATCAAGAGCAGAGTTCTTTAGAATATAGGTCCAGGGTAGGAGGAAATATATTTGTTGCTGCATCACAGCTGAACAGTGCCCAGTTTATGCATAAAGTATCACATAAGACACTAAACTTGGATCTTGCATAAATGATCTGCATTTAGGTTCTCTTAATTCTATCATAAACTACTGCTTCCCCATCATGACCTTAAAACCACATACTTGACATACTTGACAGTGCTGGGAAAGAGGAAGCACTTGGAGGCCAGCCGAGTTCAGTGGAAAGCCTGTGAGTAATTGATGGGCAATCCAGTTTCTACTAACAATAACTCTCACTCAAAACTCATTGCCATTGAGTTGATGCCAACTCATAGCGACTCTGTAGGACAGGGTAGGTCTGCTCTGTGAGTTTCTGAGATTGTAACTGGTTATGAGAGAAGAAAGCCCAGTAGTTCTCTTGCAGAGGAGGTAGTGTTTGGGAATTACTGACTTTGAAGGTAGCAGCCCAATGTGTAATCATTAAACCACCAGAGATCCTAATGAAAGCTTAGGGAGTAAGTATGTGGACATCAATTAAGCCTTTGACTATTCACAAAACCCTTACATTTGCTCTGTGACACTACCCACCTTCCTCCCATCACCACACACACACACACACACACACACACAGCCTAAGAAAGCATCCTAATAAGGATGGGAGCTACTTCAGATTTTGGCCAAGTTGGAAGAATGGTGTAAAATTCATAGGGTAATCTTCTTTTATCACACACTTAATGTTCCTTTTTTAATCCCCAAGGCTCCATATTTAAAGTAGAAATTTGTTGTCCTCTTACAGGTGCAGAAATTGTGGTTTGGAAAGATTCAATGGCATAATCGATGCCACAGAGGAGAAGATAAAGAATGGACATATTTGCAGGTGTTCTGGCTTCTGGTCTGATTGTTGTGCATTCATGATTTTCCACTGGGGTAAGAAGATCAGGTGAGACCGAGCCTTTATAAGTAGCATGGGTGCAAGAATGAAGAACAGCATTATTTCTCCTCTCAGGTTGGCTTCATCCCAATTTTCTCACTTCGTTCCAGGTGCCAGATGATGTATCAGCATGAGAAGTGGCAACCAGAGTGTCTTGGAGTATTCTCCGAAACACTTTATCCTGCTGGGTGTCTCTGATAGGCCATGGCTGGAACTTCCTCTTTTTGTGGTCCTTCTGGTGTCCTACATTCTGGCCATGTTGGGCAACATCGCCATCATCACAGTGTCCCGGATCGATGCCCAGCTCCAAAGCCCCATGTACATCTTCCTCAGCCATCTGTCCTTTCTAGACCTCTGCTACACCACCACCACAGTCCCACAAATGCTGTTCAATATGGGCGGCTCCAGAAAGACCATCAGCTATGGTGGCTGCACGGTTCAGTATGCGATTTTTCACTGGCTGGGCTGCACTGAGTGCATCGTCTTAGCTGCCATGGCCCTGGACCGTTATGTGGCCATCTGTGAACCCCTCCGGTATGCCGTGATCATGCACCGCCCTCTCTGCCAGCAGCTGGTGGCTGTGGCCTGGGTCAGTGGTTTTGGCAATTCCCTGGTTCAAGTGATCTTGACAGTGCAGTTGCCCTTCTGCGGGGAGCATGTGCTAAACAACTTCTTCTGTGAAGTGCCAGCCATGATCAAGCTCTCATGTGCTGACACGGCGGTGAATGATGCCACGTTGGCTGTGCTGGTGGCCTTCTTTGTGCTAGTCCCGCTAGCTTTCATCCTTCTCTCCTATGGCTTCATTGCCCGTGCAGTGCTCAGGATTCAGTCCTCCAAGGGACGGCACAAAGCCTTTGGTACCTGTACTTCCCATCTGGTGGTTGTCTCCCTCTTTTACCTACCTGCCATCTACATGTATCTGCAACCCCCTTCCAGCTACTCTCAAGAGCAGGGAAAATTTATTTCCCTCTTCTATTCCATAATCACGCCCACCCTCAATCCCTTCATCTACACCCTGCGGAATAAAGACGTGAAAGGAGCCCTGAGAAGACTCCTGGAAAGGATGGGGAAACTGCTGATGGAGAACTGAGATGTGGTCATTTCTATGTGTTGAAGGATACTTAATAAGTATATTGTGTTCTTAAAACATTCCTCATTTGGTGCATAATGAAATTGTGTAGGTTTTTGAGAAAACCTTGGAGCCCTAAAAATTCTATCCAAAATATATTGCCCTTACATACTTAAAATTTCACCTCCATAATAAATGCTTTAACTCTAAGAGACTACATATGTCCACAAATTGTTTAAACAGACTTGGATTTAATGTGTAATTGTCAAATTATTCAATACCTGCTTTCTTGATACTTCTTCCTCCTCATCCTCCAACATTTCTCCCATCTATCTGTTTTAAATCTCCTTTCATACCTTACATACTATGAAATGTAAACATATATTAATCAAAATGAATTTATATTCCTCTCCTTTTTCCCCCCACAATGATGGAATATTTTAGGGAAGTTTCCTTGTTACAATTCAGGTTCAGGTCTGCTCAGAAAACAGTTCTTTGGTCAGGAATGCCTCTTCTAACCTATTCCTATAGGCATGCCTCTCTCTGGTCCTCAGCCTCTCAGTCATGGAGCCCTTTGACCTGTGGCATACTTAGTCCTGCCAATTAATGTTCAAATGGCCCTCCACTCTACTTTACCTCAGCCTCAGTGAGTCAGTGAACCTAGCTCCTTTGCTGCAATGCCTAGAAGCACCCCACTCTGCATGTGAGCCTCCTGCCCGAAACATTCCACTTTCTCTCTCCTTACCCAGGGAACCCATTGCTCTGTCTCATGCTCTCTGTGCTGCTACCTACTACTACCACCACTTCTCTGGTGTCACAGCTCTCTGTCTGATCAAGGTGACCCAATGAACTTGGAACCCAAAGAACACACTCTGCTGCAGGTCCTTTATCTTGATGGTAGTGAGGTCCCTCTTCTCTCCATAAACTTACATATCTACACATTGTAGGGATTTTTCATCTTACTTTTATCTCCTTGTATTAGTCTGGGTACTTTAGAGAAACAAATCCACAGCAACTCATGTATAAGAGAGAGTTTTATATAAAGATTAAGTGCGCATCAAGAAAACATCCCAACCCAGTGCTGCCCAAGCCCACAAGTCCAACATTACCCCATTAGCCCATATGTCCAACACCAGTCCACAAAGTCCTCCTCCATCTCACAAAACAGATGCAATGATGCCAACTGCAGGAGGAAAACCGAACCAGTGAATGTGTAGACATCTCAGCACTAGCAAGGGTCTCCAATGATGCCTACTGTAGGAGGAAAGCTGAGTCAGTGAATGTGTAAACATCACAGCACTGGCAGGGGTCTCCACATGGAAGCCAGCCTTGCAAGCTGAAGCAGGGAACTGCTAAGGCAGCTGTACCCAGGTTTGACCATCACAAAACAAGAGACCCAAGAACTAAAAAGGTGAGGCTCACCGAGCCATTTATCTCTCCACCCTTCAATTAACCCCACATGTGTTTATCGACCAGCTTGGCACAATAAACTAACTCACTCCTTGTGGCCATCAAATCAATTTGATGATATATTTTTGTGCATTTCAATTTCCTTCAGTAGAAAATGTCCTCCATTAATTAGAACCCTGCACAAGCCTATTAATCATATAAAAAAAATCACTTGTCATCAAGTAAATGCTAAGTGACAACAACGCTACATGACATAGTATAAATGCTCCATACGGTTTCCTAGGTTATAATGTTCACAGGAGCAGATCACCAGGTCTTTATCCACAGAAACAGAGAAACTGGTGAATACAAACCTTTGTTATCAACTGAGCGCTTAACTACTGAAACACACACCCATACAAATCCATCACCACCATCAAGCCAGTTGTACCATAGCAATCCTATAAAACAAAGTAGGACTGTAAAAGAGTTTCCAAAGCTGTAAATCTTTACAGAAGCAGACGGCCACATCTCTCTCATAAAGAATGGCTGATGGGTTCAAAGATCAACTGATGGGCTCAAACTGATGACCTTTTGGTTGGCAAATGAGTGCTTTAATCACTGTGCCAGGGCTCCTTTTAAGCCACTAGGGCTTCTTGTATCTATCACAGATGACTAAGATGTGCAAGGATGTATTGTTTTTCATAATGTTATAAATTCAATTGTGTATCCCCAAAATTGTATGCATTGTATTTTTATTCCTATAACTATAACTATGATCTTATTTGGAAATAGACATTTTCTGTTATCTGTTACTAGGGCTATACCAGAAAAAAAGTGGGTCCTCTGCAGTATCTTATGAGAAAAAGAAAATATGCATAGACATGCATAGAGAGGAGAAAGATGGCAAGAAAGAATACCAAGCTTCCAGTCAACTCTGTCATATATAAGCAGTGTTATCACAGATCCTCCTGACCAACATACTTAAAACCCAAACTCCAAACTCACTGTCATCGAGTTAATGCTGACTCATAGCGGCCTCCTGAGGGTTTCTGAAACTGTAACTGTTAACAGGAGTAGAAAACCCAATCTTTCTCCCACGGAGCTGCTGGTGGTTTTGAATGGTGGACCATGCAGATCACTGCCCAACATGTAACCACAGCATCTGCTGAATGTCAGCAAGTGTTCTATGGGCTTAACATAGAACAGAAGTGCCAGCTGTGTGCTGCCCAAATTCCTAAACCACAATGTGGCAAGATAAAATAAAAGTATTTTAAGTCATTCGGTTTTGAGGTACCTTACCAGATAGGTAGCAATAGGTAGCTGTAGTACTAGGACCCTCTCATCATAATATTCAATGTCAGAATCATATATAGCCACAAGATAAATGTGGTACATTTTTCAAAAGTATCAATACTATTCAATTTTAGAAGAAAATAATTAAATAATTTAGATAAATGTCTTATTTGGAGCAGACACACAATAAAAATAAATACTGAATGGGTAATTAAAAAAAAAATTATAAACAGTCCTCATCCAAGTCACAGGCAACATGTATCAGGAGTAAAGAGTGAATAAGATAACTCCCCACATAAGCTAGGGGAGCTGCAGTCCCACTCGGCAAGACTAATTTTCATTCCTGACTTATAGCTCTGCACAGCCCATCTTTTTTTTAAAATCATTTTATTGGGGGCTCATACAATTCTTATCACAATCCATACATACATCCATTGTGTCAAGCACATATGTACATTTGTTGCCATCATCATTCTCAAAACATTTGCCTTCTGCTTGAGCCCTTGTATCAGCTCCTCATTTCCCACCTCCTTCCCCACTCCCACCTCTCTCACGAACCCTTCATAATTCATAAGTTATTATTATTTTGTCATATATTACACTGTCTGACGTCTCCCCCCACCCTCTTCTCTGCTGCCCATCCCCCAGGGAGGAGGCTATACGTAGATTCTTGTAATTGGTTCCCCTTTCCACCCCACATTCCCTCCGCCCTCCCAGTATCGCCACTCTCACCACTGGTCCCAAAGGGGTCATCTGTCCTGGATTCCCTGTGTTTCTAGTTGCTATCTGTACCAATGTACAGCCTCTGGTCTAGCCAGATTTGTAAGGTAGAATTGGGATCATGATAGTGGGCAGGGAGGAAGGATTTAAGAACTAAAGGAAAGTTATCTGTTTCATAATTGCTACCTTGCACCCTGACTGGTTCATCTCCTCCCCTCAACCCTTCAGTAAAGGGATGTCCAGTTGCCTACTGATGGGCTTTGAGTCTCCACTCTGCACTCACCATAATTTACAGTGATATGCTTTTTTTGTTCTTTGATGCTTGATACCTGATCCCTTCAACAGTTCATGGTCACACAGGCTGGTGGGCTTCTTCCATGTGGGCTTTGTTGCTTCTGAGCTAGATGGCCACTTGTTTATCTCCAAGCCTTTAAGACCCCAGACGCTATATCTTTTGATGCTGGGCACAATCAGCTTTCTTCACCACATTTGCTTATGCACATGTTTGTCTTCAGTGATTGTATCAGGAAGGTGGGCATCCACTGATAAGAGTTTTTGTTCTTTGATGTCTGATAACTGGTCCGTTCTACACCTGGTGGTCAGACAGGCTGGTGTGCTTCTTCCATGTGGGCTTTGATGCTTCTCATCTAGATGACTGCTTGTTTATCTTCAAGCCTTTAAGACCCCCAGATGCTATATCTTTTGATAGCCGGGCACCATCAGTTTTCCTCACCACATTTGCTTATGCACACATTTTTCTTCAGCAATCATGTCGGGAAGGTGTGCAACATGGAATGCCAATTTAATAGCCCATCTTAATACACCCCAAAAGCACAGCCATTCCCCAAAGCACAGCCATTCAAGAGCCTTTCTGTTTCTTCCTTTGTTAGCACACAACATATACCTGGCCAATTAACAAGGTCTTAGCATAACAATACAAATAGAAACTGCCCAATGGTTTTATAAACACAGGCAGCGATTTTGTGCTTGAGACAAAGATCATAACCCTTAGGTCGCAGAGTTACTAAATAGACTGAGCAATTTTCATCAGTTTTCCCAGGACACCAGCTTTGGTCAGTATCTCAAGCCTTCAGATGAGCAGCCTGCCCTCTCAGTAAGCTGTTGCTTCATCCCTCCCTCCTAGACCACCTAGGGAGGTGGCAGTTATAGACTCCACTCCTGCACCCCCACTTGGTCACCTCCATCACTCAAAAACTGCAAACTCCATAACCTCAAACCTGATCCAACAAAGGTTTTTCCTTTAATATAATTAGCCTAAATCATAAGAACAAAGGAATCTTGGCCCTATCAGACCACAAAATCATTCCCCTAGTCTTAATCTCAACCTATCCTACCATTATAAAAGACCACACAGTATTAAAATAACATAGAACCAGATACTTTCCCCACCTCTACAAAGGACCTCTGCTCCACACAGTCCTGATTACCCCCAGGACAAGATCTAGACCCCAGCTATTTTTCTGTTGGTATTGTTGTTGCTGTGTATTCTATCATTCCTATATACACCACCTCTTTTTTTAAAAAAATATTTTTATTGGGGGTTCTTACAGCTCTTATACTCTTCCAAAAATCACTTGCATCAAGCATGTTTGTAC